GCTCACAGCAGGTATATGACTGCGTACACGCAGGCGTTCTCATCCCATCGAGAGGAGCTGTTGTGATGATGATATCCTTTCCTCTCGTCTACCACCGAATCCCACGTGACCCCATCCTCCAAGTGCACTCGCGGGTCAAATGGCTACTCTGCCTCTGCGGTAGGCTACAATCTCTGGGGCGTGTCACTTCAACCAAAGTAGCACTGTAGTCACTCGAGTGGGGCTTGACGAAGCAAATTGCAGAATTGTGCCACAACTGTAATGTCAGGCGAATTGCAGGCAATCTGCTCTCTTCAACCAAACCGAACAGTGCCCTTCCAGATCATGCCGGTCGGTTATGAAGCCAAGGCACGTGCTGTAGGCTACACATGCATTGGTTGAAATGAGTAATTCGAGGCAGTAGGGGAACAATCCTCCCAACCAGAGCAGACCCATGCGAGCTGACTTCTTCTATCATTTCGTGTCTTTACGTCTGACCGATTACAAAGACAGCTGACAACGTGTCTCCTCCAAACGCCACCCCCAGTAAGTGAGCTCGAGGCAGCACTGGAGATTGGGTCGGTGATTCAGCTAGCTACGCGACACAAAGGCGTCACGTGCTAGTTGCACTTACAAACGAATGCAAGAGCCACGTGATTGAACGTGGTGACAAGCGCCATCCTTTCCATCTGACGCTCTCCTATACCCCCTACCCATCCTCCAATCGTGCATTCCGCACTTCGCACTTCCTGTGTGTAAACCGCACTACGCACTGATGAGGTGTTCACCACATGCAATACCCTATTCGCTTATGATGTGAAGCACGAAGTGTGGTGTGGTGAGCGTTGGCACGCCAGCGAATTGGAGCAGTCTCCCTCCACGTCAGCAGAATCGTTCCTAATCTCAAAGAGGGAGGCTGAATGGAGGGCTTACTTAGCAATTGTTTGCGAATATGTCTGCCACTCGAATAGGTGGAGGAGGAGCGTTTGCTCCTCCGCCTTCAGGTCTGTTGGAGGCAGAAGGCAGAGGTGGTTGTGTCGAGGTACGCCTTACTACTGTGTATGAGGCATGAATAATGTGTATGTCTAGTTGAGAGGCCGTGGCACTGCAAAGCGAGCTGCTCTCCAATCCAAAAGGACCACCATGGGGAGAACTAAAGGCACGCAAAGCTACTGCTGACGGATGGGGACGCAAGACAGGCAACTCTTCCCAAATCATTCGCACGCTCTCGACCCACTTGCCAGATAACCTGCAGCCCACAACACCAATCCGCCACTATCGAACCAACTTGACCACCCAACAACAATTCAGCTCAGGTGAACTGAAGCACGCAGTGGCCACGATTAACTCACTTGACGTTATAACAGGTGACAGGTCTGTGTGCATCCATGTGACTAGACTGCTTCACACCACGCTTAGATCGTTTGACACACTTTTTCACACTGAGAAGATTGTAAATTGCGTACTTTGCTGCATGCTGGTTGTAATGGAATGTGGTGAGGGCCTGTTGCGTCGGATGGTATTCAGCAGAACTTGGCGTTATCATGCAATGCAAGATGTTGCCCGAGGTTGTGCTCAACACTATTGTGTGTGTGTGTGTGTGTGTGGTGAGGGCAGAGAGACTCCGCCTTTGCAACCGAAAAGAGGAAAGTTATTTGGATTGGGCGATGTTTGCTCTTCGTCGAGCATGCTTTTCGGTGGGAGGTGGGATGGTGGGCTTGACATGCTTGAACAAAAGTCAGCCACACCTCTTCTCAGGCCTCGCCTCCCACATCGTCTTGTTCGGTGCTCCATTCATCAACCAAACAGATCCTCGTTGTGCGCAAGGAAGGTGCGCCGTCGCTCCCTCAACGTGAACCACTATGCGAATCACTTGTCGTTTAAGCGACAACTTTAGACACGCAATCGATGTAGAAGTTGCTCTACGGAGCATGGAGTATCAGCGACAATGTTTCGACAAACAGAATGCGCCTCATAATGACGACGTCGGTGACGATGCTCTATTGTAATCAGTCGTTGGCATGGTTGGAGATGTGCCTCACCGATTCAGGTGTGAGTGAGTTAGCACGCATCGAGGCGATGTGAGGCAGTGGCAGTCCTCCTGTCGTAGGGTTGCACAACCAGCATTAAAAGAGCCAATAACATCTCCAACACTCCACATCCACGCGGCTTTTCGAACGCACGACCACTTGCGCTGTGGATCAGCGTGTCAACCTACACCGCAGCGAACACCTCCACGACCACGCCAAATGTTGGCGGTGGTAGGTGAGAGTCAAATGTGAAGCGGATCCCCACGTTGACACTTTACGTGGGGTAAGTGATTGTTCATTTCATTGGCAATGCGCTCAAGCGATGTGAGTACACAACACCATCATCCTCCCTTCCCGTCGTCTGTCATCCATGCATCACAATTCCTTCAATAGCAGAAATGCAAGCTCATGTATGAAAATTTTTATTGGGAGAAAAGGGCAACTTCCAACCCAAGCTATACAATACGCCCACCACATTGATGACCAACTGCATGGCTTGCTCCATTGATGCGTCATCGCAGGCCACCATCCACAAGACTTCTCCCACTGCGGCGACATCGCAGGCCACCATCCACACGACTTCTCCCACTGCGGCACCATCATCGACGACCATCCACACGGCTTCGTATACGGCACACCCAGCATCACCTCACCCATCGGTGCCGACTTCAACCCACACCATCCTGGTCCTCCCAAATACTCCATTCCTTCGCCTCTCCTCCACTTACGCTCTACTCTGCTCATTCGTGTGCTCTCCTCGCGCCTTTTATACTCTCCCTCACCTTCACCTCATCCTCCTCCTTCACCTCCTACTTCCTCTTCTTCTTCTTCTTCTACTTCTTTTACTTCACCCCTCTTCTTCTCGTGCCGCGTGACGCACCAGCCTCGCGTACTTCGAGTTCATCAC